ACCATACTCGTACGTGAACAAGCGAGAATAAAAGCATGCGTTCTCGGCATCTTCTCGAAGACTCGTCACATTGTTGAGCGCTGCGCAGATGTTTTCAATGATGGCGCTCGTGTAAAAGACAAGCCCTGGGAGCCCCAAGAGCGATCTGGAGAAACACTCATCCAAGCGCATTGGCTGCGCGTGCAACGTGAGGAGAGCGCGGGCGACTCGAACGTTGTTGGCCTTGTCCACCAGGAACATGGAGCCCACCGGCAGCGTCGAATTGGAGTAGAGCCGTTGGTTGAGTGCGAGAAACGCTGCGTTGAAGTCGGAGTAGTTGGCGTATCTCTCGGGTGACGAGTAGGACTCTTGCCAGGGAAGGGGCTCCGAGATGTAAGCAATAAGCGGCTAGTACAGACCGTGTCGTCAACAAGAAGCAAAGGACGCGTCATAGGTACGTACCAAAGACGAGACATTGAGCATCGACACTACACAAGCGTAGAAGCCAAGCCGGTGGCGCCGCACGCGATAGCTGCTTCCAGTTGTCCACGCCGCCCGAGCTTTGCGGTGTGACATGGGTCGTCGTCGGTCCACAGATCAATCGCTGCGTGAGAAAAAAGATTATGAGAATAGACCACGATCGAGCGTTTTTGAGCCGTCGTTAGTTCAGTGCCCATTTTAGCAAGGCTCAACCGCCCCCGTAGTTCCAGTAATATCGATCTATAAATGTATTAGCCGTTGCTTGCTTGGCTGCTACGTCCAGAAATGTATTGGATGTGACAAATGTGGCGGGGCGCCACGCCGAGTTGCCATGTTTCAGTGTCTTGAAAAGCGCGCCCGCCAATGTCGCTCCAAGCTGTCGTCGAGAGTCGTAGTCGTGCAGTGGTCACCAAGATGTGGTAACTCATCGAGCTCAGCGCTGGAAATCTCGTCTGATGCGACGCCACTCGTAGCGCTCGCTTGGCCGCCACGTGGCGACTGGTGTGCGTGAGCTGTGCACGTGTGGCTTAATCAACACACAAGAAGGACAAGCACGACCGGCCGTTGAGGTCACTCACTTGTGCTTGCATTGTCGGCCGCGGCAGTCCATAGTCTTGCAATGGCCTTTTAACGAAAAACCGACCACTCCAATTCCGAATTATTGCCAATGCCTAGACTTTCATCCACCCACATCCTACGAGTCGAGTCCTTCCCGTTGGCCCGGAATCCGATCGGCCATGGCCATACTAATATCTGTCGCTCCTCCGTTGGATGAAGCAGTACGTCTACTGCGATGGCACGATCGATCCACGGCACTGACAACAGCACGTCGTTGTTGGACGTCCATTGCGCCTTGTCGACCAATTGCGTCCCGAGGTGCTGATGCAAGTCCGCCTTGGACGCATCGTCTATCAATAGTACGAGATGTATTAATAATAAGTCGCCATAGTCTCCAACCGACCTTGTCAAGAAAACGCGCAAACAAGCCGTAACCGCGTCGCGCTTGAGAAGCGTCAATGAGCTTGGGTTGGGCTTGCTGCGACGCAACCGTGCAGCCCAACAGAATCGGTCGGACATGCCACGCAAGGTGAATACACTGACACTCGGCGAAGACGGAGTGCTTTGTGTCAACGACGCCCGGCGGCAAGAGCGCGTAGAAAGCTGGCGCCAAGTTCGCGAGGCGACTCAAACGATAAACGACGCTGGATTGGCTAAAAGAAATATGGGTCCACCAATCAATGGACGGCACTAGGCTCGAGCTGCTCAACAACGACGATCCTTGGAATTTTCGTGCCATTTCAAGTTTTAAGTATTTTCTTTTTACTAAATACACCAAACAGAGGGCTCGAGCGACATGCGTATCTCGTAGCTCCTTTTGGGCGGCAGGACAGGACCACACTCCTTCGGCACGGAAGACACCGTCGCCCGCAACTCGTTGACGACATACCTGGACGGCGCCTTGCTGTGCGGAATCACCGCGCGCTCAAAGTTGATGCCCGAGAGAAGGCTCAAGCGCAGCCGCTCGATAAGCACACCGTTGCAGTAGCAGAGCAAGAAGCAGTCGGTGCCCCGTAGGCTAATGGTCGGACAGCACTTGAGCCGCGGGTTCAATTCCATCGCGTGGTAGATGGTGCCACCGCGCGCAGGACGCGGCGTTGCCATGTGCAGGGCTTTGGAGGCTTGGAACAAGGCGGCGCTCTTGACGCTATTGTAGCGCACGGAGCTACAGTCCGCTGGGATCGGCCGTGGTCGACGAACGCAGCCTAATTGTCATGATTGCTATCGGTTGCATCGGTCAATGCGTACCCGCGACCAAGCCGTACGCCAACGGAATGCTCAGCGTCGTCAAGGTATAGATGATACAAACGAGAGCCGCTTCGCTCTCTTGGCTTTGGAGGTCTGTGGGCACGAGGCAATAGAAGAGCGCATGGTACATCCGCGAACAATCTGCGATGTATTCCAGCATGAACACAAAGGCCGGACCGTACACGGTCACCGCTATCGCAAGCACTGTCGGGTCGACTTCGGAGAAGACGTGCTGCTTTTCCCAGCGCTTGAGCCCATAGGAGACGAGGCAGAGACCCCAGTACGCAAACCAGACCTACACCAAGTGAATCCATTAAACCTCTCGGATGGAGAAGGGCAACAACTAACTACAGATGTACCGTGCGCGACATGTAAAGGACACCTTGCAGTACAAGACCCAAGTCGTCGCTGACCTGAATTTGCATCGTCGCGACGCCAAAGTTGGTGATGTTGATCCAAATATCTAGGTAGTAGAGGGACGCGACCCATGCATCCTTGAGCACGATGGCGGTCGGATCGCCCAGCACGATCGCGTACGACCAGTCGCCCGGTGGCATCTTCAGTCGGTGGCCGCACCGACGAAGACGCGCCTC